TACAAAATCCTATCCAATAATGTAATTATATAGTAATTTATATGAACTCAAATACTCAAGAATAATGCAGTCAAAAAGTATGAGAATTATTTAATTGGATGTAGTAAAATTAGAGAATTTTAACTCATTTATAATTTGACCCATCAAATTATTAACTAGTTTATTTTGGTAAAAAGTTTATCGAAGCATTTTTAGTCCAAATGCTAATTCTAAAAAAACTCAATATATGAGTGTCTTGAGAAGGAAAAATTCATGTAATATCATGTTAACACAAGATTACCACAATAGATATACAAATTATTATGTACTAAATAATTATTTAAAAACCGCTAATACAATCCACTAGTCAAATATAAATAACTTTATATTTTTTTTCAATAAATTGCATCAATTTTGAACCAAAAAAAATATGAAGCTATTTATATATAAGTATATATAAGATTTAGACATGTCTTATTTAATAGGCCTTTTCATATTATATTTTGCATTTTCAAATTAAAATTTTTTCTTTCTTTCTTTTTTATTTACATTAAAGATTAAAGTATAAGTATATTTGACTATAATACTATCTAAAAATCTATATCCCATTACTGATTCTTACCATGAATATAACATAGCATACTACGTATTTATTATAAAATGATGAAGTGAACGATTCAAAGTAAATATGGCTTAATGAGATAATATTTAAGTATATTTGTCTCACATATATTTGAAAATTTTATGCTAAAAAATTAAAATATGAGTTTAATTAAACAATTGTCAAATCCCCCCTATATATAATCCCTGAATGTGCTGAATTTAAGTGGTAGGCTCGCCTGTTCGAGATCCTATGTGCAAATTTTTAAATATACTGGATATTTATGATCTTTTTTAAAATCATTACTTATTTTTTAATATAATTTTCTATTCTAGACGTGATTTATAATGTATAGATTTTTTTCTCCAATCTTTCTATTTTTCTCATCTTTCTTTTATAATTATAAAAAATTTACGAACTTAAGTTTTAAAGTATTTAAAATTTAATAAATAATTTATTTATTATCAATTTTTTATATATATAATATATAAAATTAATTATGTCTTAATAAGCTTCGATTAAACATCTTTAATGTATAAAAGAAAATATATTTATTTTTATAATAAATATTAAATTACCACTTAATATTAGTTGAAAAAATTAAAACTATTTTAAATTAATTTAACTACAAAGTAGTTATAGCGTACAAACTAAAAATAAATTATTATAATATATGATGGTAAGTTGTATAAGTGTTGAAGTGTCATTTTAAATAAATGATAATATGATTTTTTTAAAAAGTATTTGAAAATTATAAGAGTTTCTTTATTATTTTCAATTTAAAATATAAATTTACTAACAAGCACTCGTGTAATACACGGATATTGTACTAGTCAAATTAATATATTAACTATTATCGAACACAGTAAATAAAATAAAGAAAATATAAGTTTAAAGTAATATAATTATGCCATGAAAAATTAAAGAAATAAATAGATAAATGAATAAATATATTATTGATTAATATCTTATTCCATTTGCTATATGTAATATTCGTGCATCCCACATCCACTTGTGCTAGTTTCTTATTTACAATATTAGTAATTAAAAAATGATCTACGCGGATGCATCTCTACAAAAAAATTGCACCACGTTCACTACAATAAAAAATGACATTCTAATGAAAATTCAGTGATAAAATATTTTAATAAAAAATTCCAACGATGGAATTTACATAGCATTAATTTGTCGTAATTAAAAAATATATATTTTTTTTTTTCATATCTTTATCTTAAAAATGAATCTTAAATTTGGAATTAAAAAACAAACTATTATATATAATATATAGACACACACATATACTGATATACGGCATGAAAGTTTTAAACTTGCAGTAATGTTATTTTTGTACCTAGCTTTCATCACCTTAGTCCTTAGTGGAAATATGTGGTCACATTTTTTATTTTTATTTTTTTGGGTTAGTCGAGGATTGTTTAATAACATTTTATCACATATACGTGGCGAAATCCAAAAAGATGAGAATTCAAAACATTTTTCACTAGGATCATATTTACAATATAAAAATTGCTCGTTTATTATGTTCATAATAACAAAAGAATATTATAAATACAACGCGCCACCAAACCGAAGCCACAAGTACAATTGCATATTTATGGCGGCGTTGGATACATCATATGAACCATTGGTTCAAGCTTTAGATTTTTTTTAAAAAAAATAAATAAATTAATGTTTTATTAATTAATGAACGTAATTATATAATTTTAATAAAAATAGTTAAGTTTTTCAAAACTTGATAAAGATTTCAACTAATAGATAAACATAAATACATGATAAGAGATTTTCAACATATTAATAAGTTGAAAACGAAAAAAAGAGAGAAAAAATTAAAAGAAAAATGGTACGATGATATAAGCATTACAAAATTATAAAAAGAATTTAGGAAGTATGGTAAAAGTGAAGACTCAAAATTTATAAATTTGTAATTAATTATATTAAATCAAATTTGAAACACTATCTAAAAAAAATAAAACAATATTTTTGTTTATAAAAAAGATATTGAAACAATTTAAAAAATCAAGAAAAGAAAGGGAATTTTATGTTCCCAATAGATCGGGAGGGAATAAAAAAATAGTTACTTTAACTAATTTTTAACTATCACCTATGGAGAAGGAAATAAAATATATACTTATTTTAATTTAATTTTAGTAAATTTTAAATATTAAGGTTGGATTTTAGCTATTGTTTTTTAGGTAAATCATTAGGCTTATTATATAGTAATAGATTGTATTACCAATCACATTAAAAAAAATATCTTCTAATTAAGGTATGTTTTTATAGTTGACCAAAAAGTCAACTTACTGTATTCAAATTTAACAACTTCTTTAGATAAATATAGATGCTAGATGTAAAGAGTGCTGATTGGATATCGATTAATTTTATTTTTTATTTTTAAAGAAAGAAACTTTCTCAGTAATAAGACCAATGAAAAAAGTTGAAAATAAATATTTGAGTAGAAAAATTAATTATTTTTGATTTGTTAATGAATATTATATAAAATATATTAATTAAAGTTGATTGAAATAAAAATGATAAAACTAAGATTGCAAAAGATTGATAAAATATATTAATCTTTTCCATTTTTCTTTTACCTTCTTTTGTCCTTCTTCTTATTATTATTATTTTTTTCATTTGTCAAAATTGAAATTAAATTTGCTTCCACACTTGCTTTTTTCTCATCAGTATTTATGTTTAAATAAATTTGCTTTTCAAGATTACGATAAATTATAATGTCCTTTTTAATTTTCATAAATAATTGAATTTTTTTTTTATATAAAGTAGAAAATCAAATATAAAGTATGATAGTATTAAAGCTATGTCATTTGTCAATCCATAAAAAAGATGAGATTAATTAAAAAAACGAATAGTTCATGCGATGAATAGTGCATGCTATGAAAACAAGGCCAAATTATTTCTCATGCACCTCTAAAACGTGGTATATATGTACTACTGATGAAAACGTGCCAATTTCATTACCACTAACGTTCAATGCACGATCGTACTGCCCACGATAAATTTGAGCATGTTTGTATGCAAAAAATTTCACTTAAAATTTCATTCAACTCAAAATCTAACTCAACTTTAATATCATCAATATTATCAATATAAATAAGTATAGCAATCCAATCATTCTTACACATCATATCTAATTTAATTTACTATTCATCCAATCATATAATCATATCATTTCTTTTCTATTTTTACATCAAATCAACTTTAATTATTTTATTTTAAATATTATTTTAATATAAATTTAAAATCCCACTAATAAGTAATCATACCATTTTTTTTTTTCTAAATTAGCTCTAGTTAACCAAAAAATTCACTTTAAGTGAAAATTTTTGTATACAAACATTCTCAAAAGTTTTTATCTACTTAGAATAATATTATTTTCCGAAAAATATTTAGTTACTGAATAAAGAAAAAATTTATACATTTTTTTCCACAATCATTTCTTTATAATCCATTGTGATATTTTTACAATTTTTTTCAAAAAAGTCAATCAATTATTCTATTTTTACATAATCTATTTTATTTTTATTTTTAATAATGTTTATAGCTTATAAAATGAGTGGGCCTACTGTTTCCAGAAAAAAAAAATATAATACACCATAGTAAAGTATAAATACAAAAGCACACATTCATAGAAATTCTTATGAGTTTCTATAATTTGGTATGACTTTATAATAAAGTCTTTACATTTTCTTTCAGACTAGCAATATTATAATTCACCTCAAGTATATTTGGACTAACCATTGCTAATATTGAAATATTTTCACACGCACATTTAGTCAAGACTATTTATAAAAATATACTCTGTAATTTGATATAAAAAAAATTATAATATATAAAATGCTTTATCTAATATATCAAACTTGTAAGAGTCCTATAATTTATTAGTCACATAAAAATTTAAATATGTAAATAGTCTTTTGAGAAACAACATTCAATTAACTATAGTTTAAATTTTATATCAAATCTAATAAAAATTACTTAGATTTATTTTCACTAAAATAAACATGAACAACAATTTCTTTTCCTCATTAGCTCTTTTTCTCCCTTCTTTGTGTTCTCATTGTTTCTTATTTTTTTTTATTAATGAAGTATGAAACTATATTTTAATCAAAATATATAAGATAGTATTTTTTTTTTTTCAATGTAGGCCTAGGCCCACACTGGCTTCTATAAGGTTTAGCCCCTGATGTTATATGAATAAGTTGATATTAAACTTTCCATAAATTTATAATCATTTATTCCATTTCTACATAATCTAGAAATTTATTTTCTTTGGGAAATATAAATTAATGGTTATGTTTATAAGTTAATCATTCCAATAATAATTATTTATATGTTAGAAAAATAATTTAAAATACTATTGATGTGCTCTCGCATCTCGAAACGGTCTTCCAACGCTTCTAAACCGCCTTGCTCCCCAGAGAACTGCAAAGACGCCAGAAGGTATTCCCGACGTTAAACCTCCAACGATCAAGTCACGGAAGATGTTGAAAAGTTGTGTATAACTATATAAAATGTTTAGGGTATACAGTGTGATTAACCTTACCTTCTTTCCCATTTTACCTAATTATACCAAGTTATTAGCTTCCTCCATACACTTTGTTCTTCCTCCGTGAAATCCTTTATTCCCTTTTGATCCTAATTCTACACGTATCCCTTGTGGACCACCCCACATAACCGTTCCTACAACTCAACTATTAGCTTGCAAAGTATCACCATAAGTCGGTCTTTCCTTATAGGACTTCCCTGTTGCACTATACCGAGCTCTAACTGTATCGAGCTCTTATTATGCCTAGCTCTTCTTGTATCGAGCTCTTATTATGCCTAGCTCTTCTTGTACCGAGCTCCTATTATGCCTAGCTCTTACTAGCCGAACTCCTAACGTTCCGAACCCTGCCATTGAGCTAGCTACTGTTGTGCCGAGCTATCATCGACCATACTCACAATGCTTCCAACTCTCATCAACAGCATGAGTTGCTCTGGTAACAAGTTTTGTCATACTGACGTTATCACCCGGACCCCTCAATACCCAGGCTACTCTAAACCCATCGCTCTAGCTACCCCCAGTTAATAAGCCGAGCTAGTTCTGTCTGGTTCTACCGAGCTATTCTTATGTGTCATGTCAAATACAATCTACTATTCACTAATACAATCAACTAACAACTATCCGCTATTAGCTAATTGTCAAATAAAGCTAATATTTCAAAATAACATATTGCTTTTAACTAACCTACTAACTTCATTCAGGTCCGAAAGCCCAAGTATAAATTTTTGGACTGGATGATTTGGATCAGCTCAATATATGTGATAGGCTATAGAAATACATGTGGCCAAAGAGTTGGGCCAAAAGAACAAAACAACTTTATTGGTGTGTTTATGTTCGTTGATTAATTCACGAGATACCTGAATACTATTTAGTATCATAGTATCAAATTGTGCCACATTATTGTTCCACTTCTCAATGGATAAGCTTTAGTCTAATCGCGGCAAATTATTGTGTGAATGTATGTTAATCGCAATAACATACATTCACACACATTCCAAGGGTCCACACGGGTAGAATTAAATTCACCGTGATTAAATTAAAGTCGATCATTCAATAGATGAAAACTATGTGTGGTCAATAGAATTGAAGTTATCTCTAACAATATGGGTCGTCTTTTCGAGCTAGTATGATGGGATATGTATTTTTTTTTTATTTGGTTGTGTCTCACACTATTGTGTTTCACTATATCATGTGGACATGTTTCAATAAATTCACTTAAGGTGTTTTTACAATTCTTGATAAGCTAGGATATTAAGGGAAAAGATAAATCATCACATCTTATATGCTTATTTAGCAAATTTGAAATAAGCCCAGTGATTTTTTGGGCCCAGGAAAAAATCCCATGAATGAGGGATATTGGCTCATGGGCTATTATTACTTATCCCTACTTATCACTTCAACTGAAATGACCATCTTGCCTTTAAAATGATCCACATGTGCTTTTCTTGAAGGGTATTTTAGGAAATTGAGTTTTTTCTTTGAATTTTTCACGCCAAGCAAAAATAAAAATTTTTGAAATGATCCACATGTGCTTTCATAATCATACTTCCAAAACAACCCTCCTTTTTATTTACCATTGGAAAATATATGATATTTATCATAAGAAATAAATGATTGGGATTTCAAGGAATCATCATACTTCCCAAAAAATAGCTCTTATTCAAATAATAGTCATTTCAAAAAATAAAAGATATAGTCTTGAAAGGATTATCTTCCTTTTGTTTTTTCAATTTTATTTGTAAATAAATTGTTTTTTATTTTATTGAAGCAGATATTGGATTTAATGAGAAAAACAAAAAGGTAAAAAGGAAAATAACTTTCCTTCCTTTTCCTTTCTAGGATCAAACAAATTAACCCGTTTGTGTGACCTTACTTAAGGACCAACTTTGCAGGTCAGCAATCCCTCTCAAATTCTCATGTCCATTCTACCATATAGCTTAACTGCATCTCACTTTCTCCAAACGATAATGATAATCTAACAAACTTTTTGTCTGCAGAAAAATGGAGAGATCAACAAACCACAAAAAACCTCAGCATCAAAATCACAAATTCACTACTAAAACCAATTAAAAAAAAAAAAAAAATTGTATTCTCATTATTCCTTTAGCAGTTCTATACATACCACTTCCCATCAAACACCCCCCAAATTCTAACACCAGCTAGGGGCTAAAAACAATTGCTCTTTACCAGAATTCATAAACAAATAAACTCCAAGTCAATACTATATATATCCAAGTGGGAAAAAGAATAGAAAAATCAGAACATAAAACCCAATTAGCTTTTATAAATCACCACAAAACAAGGCAGCAAAGCCCTTGGGCTGAGCAAATACAACTCCTCAATGTTCGAATGAACTCCGACTTTCCCTGCCAGCGAGTCGAACCCAGTTTGCCCCACCATCTCTTGTATATTCTCGAGCGGCCTATGAACCCTTCCCGCAATAACCCTACACACAATCAACGCCTTTCGTGGGCCCACACCACATTCGGGCCCTTGTATCGACTCGAAAGCCCGCGTGCTAGTCGAGGCCGTGAACACCCCAACGCCACCTGTCAGCTCCTTCTTGGTCGAGAACCCGTACCTCAAAACCCGGCACACTCGACAGTTTTCGGATTTGCAGAGGCTGCACGAGCCTTTATAGCCGAGTGAACATTCCAAAAACGCCCCGTGAAATCTTAGGAGCTCGTTGCCGTCAGCAAGGCAACGAGGGTGCTTTTTCGGGAGCTTGCTGGCTTTGATCTTCACGAGCTCCCGATACTCTTCGAATTGGGCTAGAGTTTTTTGCATGTTGTGGACTTTGAGGATCCTTTCGATCCCACCACCACCGCGCGGGTTTTCGAGCCGGGCTGTGCTGGCCCGACATATGATCTCGACTATCTTTCGTGAGGAATCGCCTTCTGCCAGCTCGGTAACTGAATCGAATCGAACACGGAAAACGTAGATAAAAAAATGTGAAATGCCATCGGTTTTGGGTGCACACTTCGGTAGTCGACAAAATCCGAACAAAATCGTAACATAATTGGCGAAAATGCATTTTTAGTCCTGTTGGTTTTTGTCTTTTCGTCTTATTATTTAATATTTTGCTGCAATTTTAGTCCTTACAGAACTGCAATTGCAACAAAATTTTAAATTGTAGGACTGAAATTTCAACTTTTTGATTTTTGAACAACGAACATGTTTTGATTTAAATACAGGACTTATATTGCTAATAAAAAAATTATCCCAAATATATAAATTTGAGAATTTCTTGCAATTTCAACAAAATATTAAATCACATTACCAAAAGGAGATATATTAGAATCTTGAGACTAAAATTGTTATGGACTAACAATGCAATTTAGCGCCTAATGCCAAACCAAGATATTTCATGAAAAACATGTCAAATTCTATTACAGAGAGCAACATTGCCAATCAAGTAACAGCAATTCATATAACTCACGAAAAAAATGCAATAATCACGATCAAATACCGAAAACCAAAAAGAATCTAACCGGCGTGCTTGGAAAGATGATGCTCCTCCACAGCTTCCCACCTCACAAACTGCTCGTGGCACTTATGGCAAAACAGAGCCCCATTTGAGTCCGGCCCGAACGAGGACCTGGGCCTAGCCGAGACAACACCTAACCCAGAACTCCTTCGAGACAGGCTGCTAGCTGTCCGCCTAACCGGGCTGCCAAGAAAGCCCGGCCCAACCCCTCGGCCCACATGAAAGCCCATTGGGCCCGGAGTCCCGGGCTTTAACATGCCGACAAAATTCGATTCGTGAAAACCGTGGCCCGTCGCACTCACTTTGAGCTCGCAAGTGGAGTTATTCAGCACGACCTCGTGAGTAATCGGGTTCAATAATTCGCTGCTGCCGATGGATCTCGGGCTGCAAATCGTGGGTTTTGTTCCGGTGTGTCTCTTGCTACCGTGGATCACGACATCTTTAAGATTAGCTATTGACCTCGAGCAGCCTGACCGGCCGGAGTTGGACCTTTTTGTCGATATTTTGCCTAACTTTTTTTGGCCGTCCGGATCTTGCACGTCACGTTGCTCTGTTTTGCAACGCAGGGATCTTTTCAGAGCAAACCAAACTGCAGGCATTTTCTTGATTTCTTTTCTTTTTTTTTTTAATTTGCTGAATAATCTGTTAAGCTCTGTGTAAAAGATCCATGGATGGACTAAAGACTCAAACTTCACTTTTTTTTTATTCACCCTTTATTCATCTGGGGAGAATGTATGTAATGTAAGTGTAGAAATATATGTTTTGAGAGGAAAAACTGTAGGCATATCAGCATATTTGTAAACTTGCCTTTCTTGGATGTGAAGCGGTCCAGCCATGGACTTGTGTAGGTCTATCTCATTATATGACAAGTTCTTTTCAAAAGCTGTAATTTATTATTATTATTATTATTATTATTATTATTATTTTTTCATATAATTGGGTTTCAAAAATTGACGCTGCTGAAATCAATGTGCGTCATTTAATGCTGATCCGTTTCAACATATGAATATGGAAACACAATAATGTATATTGGTAAGTGTTGTCTGAATGGAAAAAATGAAATAAAAGCATGACAAAAGAATCAAAAAGATTTATTACTGTTTTTTTTTTTCGAACGGAATAGGAAAAAACGAGGGTGTTTCTTGATCTTCCAATTTTGGTTGAAGATGTGAGATTAACCATAGCTTTTAGGTTCAGACAATCTGTTGTTTCAATAAATATATATATTCAAATGTAATATTTTAAAATACGATACAAATATAAATATAATATATCAGAGTATATATAAATAGATCTATACATTATTTATAAGAAAGTACGAGTTTCTAGTTATTAGACAACCTAATG